GGGGGGGGGGGGGGGGGGAGCGATGGTGGGGAGGAGTGGCGCCACCCACGGACATCAAACTCCCCGGTCTGAAGTGGAAAGTTTGGGGAGCAGCAAAGCCTTCTCGAATTTCCAGCTTCCTCCTTTACAGTCATAAACTCTGATTCACTCCCTAGAACTGCGGCTCCTTTATATTTATGCAGTAATATTTCCACTCTTGGCTGGAGGGGGTCATAAAGTAACAACTAACTTGCTGATAGAGTCATACAATTTATTTCTGCAAGGGGAAAGTTAAAAGAAAGTAAATCCTAAAAACCCCTACTTAATCAAAAGTATTATTTGATTAGGAATTGAAGCAAACCTGCTTCACAATCACAGGAATAGGTCTAGGAAGCATACACAACATTCCTCTTCCTATTTTATTCCCACAACAACCCTGTGAGGTAGGAGAGCTGCTCATTTAGGGAGCTTTTCTGGCCTTATAGCTTTCCATCTGAGTATTGTCTGCAGTGACTGGCAGCACCTATCCGGGCCTCAAACGGGAGAATTTTCCTGGTCCCCTTGGATAGATGGGCAGAGTTTTTCAGACTGTGCTCCGTGGAACCCTAGGAATCCACAAGAAGATCACAGGGTTCCGTGGGAGACAACTGGCAAACAAACAAAAGTGTTTCTGTCATGCGCAGCCAGTTTTCTATCACTAGAGCTTTGTCTCTTGATTAGGGGTTTAGAGGTGTTGTTTTAACTAACAGGTTCTGCAGCCTGAAAAAGTTTGAAAATTCCTGACCTGGGGCATAGGACACCAAAATGGTACCCAGAAGTACCAGTGTAACCAGCAACACAGTCTCTTGGCATCCATCAGACATCCTCCTCAACCTAACTTAATTATGTTATTTTTTAACAAATATATTATTGTTGGTCACATAGTCAGCCAGTTGATTAGACTGGATTTGGCATTTTTATCCATCTATTGGGTCCGTCCCAAGAACCTGAGATAGGCAGATGTTGTTGTTTGATGGTGTTAAAGATATCGTTGCAGGATGTGAGCAGGATGGCCCTGATTGCTCAGCCAACAGTCCTGAATCCTGTAGCCCCCTGTCACCAGATGTCCAGGAACTAGAATACCTAGTGTGGTCCTTGTTGACCCAGGTGATGACCGATCCAGTATGGGTTTCTGCAAATTACATCTCACCATATTGTTTATGGGAGAGACATTCTTCCTCTGATGAGCCCTGTCCAATATGGTTGAATCTCTGGCATTGCACTCATCCTCTTTGGAGCACACAAGCCCCACAATCACATCAAGATAGTGCCTCACTGGGGGTTGTTGCTGCTGTTGTTGTTATTATTCTACAGTTATGAAGCACAAAGCACCTACTTCAAGCGTAACTGGCATTTTCAACAATTCCTCTAGACCAGTATTCTCAACCTTGGCAACTTTAAGCTGTGTGGACTTCAACTCCCAGAATTCCCCAGCCAGCA